CTGTTTACATGATGGAAGTCAACCGGAGGTATGGTTCTTTCCTATGGTTCTTTCATGATTTTCGCCAGGCATGGCAACACCCTACTTATAACCCATATTGGAAGTGCTTCAATTTTCTCTACTTTTGGTTCTTTAAATATCTTAATGATTTACTTGTCCCCAAATTAAAGAAGTAATTTATATTTGTATCTCAATTAACTAATAGCTTTAAGCGCTCGTTTGAGTTCACTTCTTGTGGTTATGTCATTGAGGACCAACAAAGCAAGAAGGTGAATGCTTGGGGGCTGCTAAGTGAAGGCTTATATGCACTCCAAAATGTTCAACTCTATGGTCTTCTTGTGTTTATTTCTAAAGCTAAAAGAGGATCTTCCACTTTGTGGCATGCATGTTTTAGGTCATCCTAGTTTCTCTACTATTTGTCATCTATGGAGAGAGTTGGCTCTTCGAAATTTTGTAATTTACCTTATGGTTCCTTGTGTTTATATTGCCAACTAAGCAAATATTTGAGTTTCTATTGAACCTATTGGCAGGAAGTCCAATGCTTTTGTTGATCTAATTCCTACTGATACTTGTGATCCAGCACTATTTAGTTCGTTATTAGGTTCTTATCGTCTATTTAATATTCGTGGATGGCTACACCTGATGTACTTGGATATATTTTTCTAAATAACAGTTTGATGTCTTTAATGGTTTTCATAATTTTCATACCTACTTTGAACTCTAATTTTCTTGTAAGCTTTAAACCTTTTGATTTGATGGTGGTGGTGAGTTTATTTATCATGTTTTTTATAATATTTAAGGGTGTGGTTTGTACAAGGCTGAGGCCCTAAACAATCAAAGTAAGGTGCATCCTTAGATTTAGAAATGTATTATTTTAGTATCATAAATCTTTTTGATGGCCTAAAACTTTATTTTCATCTCTAATTGTAAAATTTAAATATTAAAAAATAATGTAGATTGAGCAGATCTATAAACACTTGAAAATCTTGAAAATTGTCTAGATTATACATTACAAGATGCACTTTATCTAAGATTTAGAATATTGTTTTTTCTCATATCTATACAGCTTGAGGATCGAATCGAGAGGTTTCAGCAGCGAAACAACCTCTTGCAATGAATTTTTGAGGTGCACCTTAATTTGATTGTTTAGGGCCTCACTGATATATAAACTTTTTGTGTATGTAAGTTAACATAGAATTCATCATTTACACTCTTATCCATATTTCAGCATAAAATAATGTTGTTGAACGCGAGCACTATCACAGTATTGAAAATATTTTATCACTGACGCATGCAAATGCCCACCATACTTCCTTACCCCGCTTTCTCTTTCTTTTGAGGGGCGACACATCATCTGTCCAACTTGAAATAGAAGATTCTTGGGGCTATGATGTGGATTCCATGTCCAGCTAGACCCCATGTCAAACACCACGTGGACGTGGAGCCTATCATCAATTGGGCCCACGTGATCCATGAGGGCCACATGCATGCCATCTAATTGGCTTGGGTATGTCCATAGCGACCCAAATTCACATTTTATGATATTCTCCTGCATTTTCAAAAAATAAATTATTAAAATCTAAATTAGTACCCAAAAGGATATCCCCAAAAAGATAAAAATATAATATGAAAAAGATATTCGAGTTCACAATTAATTGGTACAAGAAGGAGCAACATATTATGGATCTGGTGGATCAACTTTCAGCCGGCTGGTTGAAAACTGAGGTCTTGTTGGCTGCATCTGGTGGATCAACTTTTAGTTTCTTTTTGTCATGTCTATCGCGAGGCGAATTTCTTACTAAATGAGACCCTCTTTGTCCGTTCTAGCTATTTCCTTTGATGTAATTTCTTTTGAGTAGATTTTATAAATAATGTAAGGAATATTTGTCAAAAAAAAAAAACAGATATTTGTGTTAGAGAAAAGAGTGGATAACGTAAGAAGGAGAATTACAAGAGTACAAAGACACTTTGTAGATTGAGAGAGAAATGAAGGTCGCAATGGGATAGCCCAAGGCCCTTGGCCTGGCTCAACTTGGTTTGGACCAAGACAAAATGGCCTTAGCCTTGTCCCAAAACAAGCCCAGGCTTTTGGATAGATGGCTTGGCCCAACCCTATTAGTGATTTGGGTTAGATCAGGCCTGGCTGAGCCAATTAAGAATTAATTCGTTTTCGAAATAAATAGAAAAGCCAAAGTGCCATACCCCTAAGCTTGGCCACAGGGCCAAGATTCTACCCTAGGCACAAGTTGTTCTGCAGTCGTCTTTTTTTTTTTACAAGATGTTCAAGCAAAGACACAATATTACATAAATGAAGTAACCAACCGAGAGGGAGTATAGACTCATCTTTTGGAAAGAACATCAGTATCTTCATTTATCTCTCTATAACAATGTTGGACCGTTGACATAGAGGTTGACAAAATATCTCAAATTTGATAAAAATAATCCTTAATCTCCAAGGAATATGAGCCTTTCTCTTACTCCAGGTAATGACATTTGCCAAGTCTCTTTTGATAATCCTGTCCCTTTCCAAAGTGCAAAGCAATTTCAAACATTCTAATAAACCTCATGCTTTCGTCTCCTTTGCTGTTGTGATACCACAAGGACCCGAGTAAGAAAATATAATGTGACCCAAATTATATTTGATAAGTCCACCATAGCCAGCTGACCCTGGATTGTCAAGTAAACTTCCATCAAAATTAAGTTTGAAGGAATTCACTGGTAGTGGTATCAAAATAACCTTGCTACGAGTGTTGGTAGTAACACCCATAGTCGCTATTTGCTAAGGGATTGCTAATGATAAGATTTTTAGGAGTAAATCCACTATCTTTATGTGCAAGGAACTAATCAGTTGCAACTGCCAAAATATTCGATTTTAATGTAGATAGATCTGTACTTATACTATCAAATATTCTTCTATTTCTTTCCTTACACACATTCCAAATAAGGCTAACCCAAATAGATATCCAAAGAATAGTTCTCATCTTTGAAATATCATGTGTGATTCATTGGTCAAGAAGAACTTTGACATTTTGGGACAAAGGTAATGACAGATTGAGGCGCTACCGAGCTCAATCCCAAAGATATGTAACAAAAGGGCATGAAAGGGAAAAATGTTATGAAATTTCATCACTGTCTTTACATAGGATACACACATTTGTGATAATAAACCCCATCTTTATCAAGTTGTCAACAGTTGCTAATTTATCTTGACACATGATCTATAAGAATAGTTGTACTATTTGTAAACTAAACTAGTTGTTTGGCCTTTTTGGCAATTTGGTGCTTATTTTATGGTGGTATACCACTAATGGGGCAAGTTGTAATTCGAGAGTGGCAAATTTCGAGAAAGGCCTAAATTATAATATGAGTGTAATATCAAATAGCCCTCATCACCAAAAAAACCAAATAGCAATTTCAAATTATAATTGAGAAAACTACAGTTTGAAATTTAATGGCATTTTCATATTTGAAAACCTAAAGTTGCATGTATATGCGCCTATATTCTAAGTCTATTAATTTTAGGAAAAATATCTCCATATTCCTTACTTTTAGGTTTCATATCATGATAAATCCAAGGTTTAAAAAGATATTTTCTAACCCCCTGACCATTTTAAACATATTTTTTAACCTAAACAAATATGAGAAAGACATGCTCTTTCTAAACTCAATCATTTATCTCTCTTCACTTATATACCCCAAACCTCTCTCTTTCTATGTCTCTCACTCACTCTCTCCTACCATATTTTTCCAAACACCTCTCTCTCTATCTCTCTCTCCTAATAACCTCTCACTTTTCTCTCTCTAGAAGTTTGGGAGGACGACTTTTAAAAAAAACATGTCTTTTTAGCTTTGTTTGGCCTAAAAAAAGTGGTTTAAAATAACTCAGAGGATTAGAAGAAATAAGATCTACAATTTTTATGCTCCAAGATATCTTTTAAAACATTAAATCTATTGTGAAATGAAACTTAAAAATAAGGGGTATAGAGATATTTTCCCTTAATTTTATAGAATATGTAGATGGGTTGAAACCCCTATCAAAAGCATTGAAGGGGTCAAATGATCCTGACTAACAAATTTTGGCCTAAAAAAAGAGGTTTAAAATAAGGGGGTTAGAAGAAATAAAATCTACAATTTTTATGCCCTAAGATATCTTTTAAAACATTAAATCTATTGTGAAGTGAAACTTAAAAAATAAGAGGTATAGAGATATTTTCTATTAATTTTATAGAAAATGCCCTAACAAAAGCATTGAAGGGGTCAAATGACCCTGACTAACAAATTTGAGGGGTCATTTTTTTTTTCACTTAGTTAGGTACCTCCTAAAAAAGAATTAAAAAAAAAAAAACAAAATTGCCCTTGTTCAAATTTGAGAATGAAAAATACTCAACGACGATTTCAGTAATTTGAACCCCTAAGAGGCTACAATCCAATGATAAACATACATTTGCTTGTTTAATGTTACAAATAAAGAATATAATATTCAGGATTAGTAATAAGGAAGTGGGGGTATTTTTATTATTTGACACCTAAATGCCTTACATGTATCAAGAAAAATACCTCTAGTTATTCTAGAGTAATATTTTCCTTATTTGTAAACCTAAACAAGATATTTTTGTTTGATTGAGCGTAGTTGAGGGGTAAAATTAGTAAAATGATTGTTCCTCCTTTTTAATCCTTAACAATGGTAATTTGAGAATTTTTTAATTTTTTTTTAAAAGATTCTAAAATGAAGAAAAAGAATAAGTTATTAATCATTTGGGTACCTCTAAGTCAATTACACGAAAATAGATTGCAAAGAAATATGAAATTTATACTGTTTCGTAACACTTTAATAGAAAATATGAGATTTATGCTGTTTTGTGGCACTTTAATAATAAATAGATTGAAGTAGATTAAGCGAGATCTCTACAAAAAAAAAAAAAAAAAAAAAATCATAAAACCCATGTGTTGGGAGGGATAAAAAAAATCTGTTGCGCTCCTTACGAATAATTATTGTGCAGGTATCCACTAGCCTATCTTCCGCTAAAATCTCATACTGGCTTTCGGAACCTCTCAAAAACCTAGCGGATTAGCCCTACTCTCTCTCCCTGTAGAACAAGGCTTTGTTACTCGCAATTTGTAGGGCAGCCTGTTATTTCATATCGTCCATAAAGCCAGAGGCTCGGAGCCCTCTTATTTTTTTCTCACGAAGTGCTCTCTCTCTCTCCTTCTTCTTTCTCTCTCTTCTGTCTCTCTCTGTGCCCGAAAACCTAATCCTCTCCTCTCCATGGACACGGTGGCCGTGAGAGCACTCTTCAGCTTCTAATATATCATATCAGGTGCGTTTCTTTCTCTGAACCTCGTCCTCTCACTTTATTTTTGGAAAGCTTTTTATATTCCCCTACGACGTAAAAGTTCTATGTGCTCTTACCATCCAGCCATCTATTTTTTATTAAGAGAGCCGCTCACCATCTTAAAGTATGTTATTTTTAGTTTTTTTAATACAATTTTTTTGAATATAAAATTTGATACGTGCCGTATTTTCATTGGGACGCACCTATAAAAAATATTAACAATTATTACCAAAATATATTTAAAATCTTTCAAAGTTATTTTGATTATTTTATTTTATTGAAATTTTTTTTTATATTATTCTTTAGTGCGAGTTTAATATAAGAATGAACATCCAAAATTTGGTGTCAAAACAGTTTATAGAAGAAAAAAAATTAAAAATAAAACAGTATAGAGACATGACATTGTGATTGAGATATTCTGAGAACGGTTGGATTGAGGGGACGGTTGGATAAAGGGTATGATTGAGACAATCTTAACATTCCATTAAAAAATGGACCCTTGGATAAGGGGAACATATAACTTCTATGTTGTAGGTGGACATAGAAAGCTTTCTTTTTTTTTGTTGCTTTGTGTTCTCTTTCTTGTTTAAGATGGTAGATTGATGATTTAATCTCTTAAATTCTTTCTTATTTTTTTACTGGTTTTCTTTTATTGAAAACCCTAGATCGTTCTTGCTGTGTTCTTTGGTGCATTACTGTGAACTCCATTTCTTCCTTTTACAACAGGAAGCCAATTCCCAACTAAAATAATAAGCTTATGAGTGTCTAACTACTCTAGCCCTTCCTGAAGCCACATATCACTAAATTTAAGCGGTGATTTCTTTGGATGATTGAAAACTTTTCTATAAGTCAACGGAAATCCCTAAAAAAAAAAGAAAAGAGAAAAATTTATATAAGATTGCAACCTTAAAATGTAGAATAAAATAGGTGTTTTAATGTTGAAAATCTCTTTTATTGATCAGCTCGACAACGAGATATATGAATATGAAAAAAACAAAGATTTTGGGTTCTATAAATAGTGCTTCTTACAATACATTATTTCTACCGTCCATTTTCAAGATTTTCATATGTTTATAGATTTACTTGATTTCAGTTTAAAATTTTATGATTAGAGAAAAACAGATTTTTAGATAATCCTAACAAATTTTACACCAAAATTAAATGCTATGATAAAATAAAAATCACAACAATTTTTTTTTTTTTTTTTTTTAAGTTATTTTTTTTGATTTTTTTATTTATAAATTGCTTGGCCTATGAATCTCTAAAATTTTTAGACATAAACCCATCGTTAAGGTGGATCTAAGAGAGGGCCGCACGTGTACAACTGAGTCGGCTTACGCATAGTAACCCATTCTTGGATGATTGTATAAGGTTCCAAACACCTTAAGATTGTTTGGGACCTAGCATAAGTAAAACCTAATTTTGCATGTACTGGTTTTTGGACGTCAGAGACCGCGATTTACAGGGTCCAAAACCACCAAAATAAACATATGCCTATTCAGAAAAAAGTTGGAATACACGAATACTCGTTTTCTGTAAGCTCAGTTTTACTCGAAATTTGCTCCGTTCCCATTTTCTTTTTATGCCATGCTCTCCCCCTCTCTCTCTCTCACCGTTTGGACCGCCATTGGTACAGATGTTACCGAGCTTCCTCTATCCCTTCCGCCTTGCTATCACAACTGATCGAAGCTGAGACAACTTTCAATCGGTCCTCCACCTTCACCGCATTATTTTGGGCTCAATTGTTGGCCCAACTTTTTGCAGTGCCGGAAGGCTTCTTTCACCCTCTCTCTCGATTACTCTTGCATCGCTAGGTATGAGAAATATTTACTGATTTTTTGTTCCGTTTTCTCTTTTTTGTGTAGATGGAATGAAAAATATCTCAGTGTTTGGGTTTTGATGTTGTTGATGGTGTGTTTTTGGGGTTGTCACTAAATTGAATGGGTGAGTAAAAATTGATTTATTTTTGTGCTTTTACCTTTGTTGGCTGGTGTGTATTACGGCATTTCTGTTGAATATTCATCTCCTGTAAATCTTGGCAATCTTTCTATAAATGAGCATCTTCGGTTTTTCTTTTGTTTCCCCTTTTCTTCGTAGAACTACATAGATTCCACTTCTCGGTGAACACTCTAAAAAAAAAAATGGATGCCACTCCTTATAATTTTGTAAGGCCTCTCTACAGAATGCTTGGGAAAACTTTTTTTTTTTTTTGTGTGCTGTTTCCTTTGGTTGTTCTTGGTCAATGAATATGGAATGCTTGAGACAACTTTTAAAGTGCGTAAGATAATTTTCGTTTTAGTGGGAATATCAGAATTTGTCTTAATGGATTGTAGGATGCTTTATGACTTATTAGTTTCTTGGCTTTGTAAGGATATGGGTGCATTTTATTCTTTCCGGGACGATTAGAAGTAGAAAAGTTTGCCTTCTTGATTTTTGATTGAATGGAACGGCGTATTTGTTGAATCCCTTATTATTGGTCTTACACATTATTATACAGGATTGGTTTGATTGGACTATAGAGATGAATAACTTTGTAGTAATGTTGGCTTTACCATTATAAAAGAGTATCGGTTTGATTGGATTCCACAGAGGAATTCTCTTAGATCTTTATTCAAATAAAAAGATGCTCTCTGCTGTAGTGCTGGCTGCAACAGTTTTGATATCATAATTCAACCTTAAAATGATTAGAGAACGTAACCATCTAATTTCTTTGTCGTATAGTGGATTATTTCTTCCCAAAAATATTCTTAATTGGCCATATATTACTATAGAATGATTAACTTATGAAATGAATGGCTAAGCTGGTTTAATAGCAAACAACCAAAACCTGGATTTCAACTTAGTGGAGCCAAACAAGGCATAGGGCATTTTTCAAATACTGGGCTCTTCCAATCGTCAACCAAACAACATCGTTTTCAAAATCAGATTTTTCGTATACTAGAATTTGCATAACCAGGTTTTGATGCATATCCAGAATTTGCGTATGCAGAACCCAGACTACCCATAAATGAAAATTTCCCGATTAGAAACAAGAAGCCTCACCTTTGTGAGGCCTAAGTAAGGGCTTAATGCTGAACAAGGGTGAGGAAATAAAAATGTTCGAGAAAGGACTCTCTTCTCTCTTCTCACCGTTGTTGCACGTTCACAGCCATGTAATTTGAGATAAGCTATTCGCTCAAGATAACCTTTCATGTCTTTCTTCCAGTTACCTAACAATGGACGCTACTGACCCCCTAGAAGAAACAAGACCCTTTTCTCTCTTCTCCAGCAAATACCTCAAAAAGAGACCCGCCTTCATTAGCAGCCCCACCAAAACCCTAATACCTGAAGAAGAAGGAAAAAATCGTAAACCTTTCTCTTCCAATGATCTGGAAACCTTCGAGGAGCTCGGCCTCTCGGAGTGGGCCACACAGACCTGCAAAGAGCTCGGCATGAAGAAAGCCACACCTGTTCAGCAACACTGCGTGCCCCAAATCCTCAAAGGGAAAGATGTACTAGGTTTAGCTGAGACTGGTAGCGGAAAAACTGCTGCTTTTGCTCTCCCCATTCTTCAAAAACTCTCGGAGAACCCGTATGGGGTCTTCTCTCTAGTGATTACACCAACCAGAGAGCTGGCTTATCAGTTGGCTGAGCAGTTTAGGGCATTGGGTTCTTCTTTGCATCTTCGTTGTACTGTTGTGGTGGGAGGTATGGACATGATCACACAGGCAAAGGCTTTGATGCAGAGGCCTCATGTTGTGGTTGCTACTCCAGGGCGAATTAAGGTGTTGCTTACTGCAAATCCTGAGTTGCCTGCAGTTTTCTCCAAGACCAGGGTGAGTGTACTTTTATTTTTCTCTCATTTATTTTCTTTTTATTGTTATCCTTTTTTTTTGTGCTTTATTTGTTTTCATTGAGTTTTTGGGAATTAGACTGCTGTTGAGGTTGGTAATTGGGGATCTACAGTTACGTGCCTGCTACTATGTCTACTTGATTGAGCTATCAAAAAAACATGAAAAAATATTGAAATGTTTTTAATAGATTTGCAATATTCAGAATTGGTAGTCTATAATTTTTATTTTTTGTGTTTCATTGTACCATGCAAAGATTGGCTGATTGGGAGATGGATTATGTGGGAATTGAATTATCTGCCTTTTACTCATCCCATTTGTTTGATGTTTGTATATTGTTTTAAAAATATTGAATTAATTTTATGAGCTTCACCTTAGGAGTGTATTATTTTCTCTTTTTTTTTTCCTTTTCCTTTTCTTATGTTGTGGATGCTACTATGTGACAAAAGGGTCAAGCAAATGATATGTGTATGGTCGTTTCTCATTTTTTTCTTTTCTCATACAGAGGGATCAGGTTAGTTGGTTTGTTTTATTGTTGGGAATTGAGTTATATCAACCACATGAGTTGGCCTTTGGATTTATTTTTTTCCCCTCTATGTGTTGTTGGGTGCTCAAGGAGGCCTGTTTTTAGTGTTCTGGCTTCTTATGAGCAAGCCTTATTTTCATTGCAAATAGGTGGTGTTTTCATCATAGTTGTAATTAGGTGATTAAAATCTCTGAAGAGAAAGTTCTGAATGTTGAGGATTGATGTCTTGTATTATGAAGAAATAGTTCTGTCAAGGTAGAGTCAAAAGGACAACTCCGTAGGGCGGTTAAAAGCCCGGAGGGCCGAAAGCTCGAAATTCGAATATCCGTACAAGGATATTTCGGTAATTTGTACCATCTATTTGAGACTCGATATATATCCATGCATGGGTATTTATACATGGGTATTTTGGTAATTTGTACCGGACTCTATATATTGTCGCGATGGGTGTTCTTTTAGGGTTAAGGGAAAAACGTTGATTACTTTGTAATCAGAGAGAACAGAGAGACGTGATGAAAAGAGAGCTATTGTAACCCTATTCTCCATTGTCAGTAAAGAAGCTCTCATCTCCCGTGGACGTAGGCACGTTGCCAAACCATGTATATTTTTGCATTGTGGTTGGTTGTTTTTTTCTTTTGTGTTTGTTTCTTCTTTTTTGTTTTCGTGGATTGTATCTACACTGAAGAAGTAGACTTTTGGTGGTCATATGTTAGATTACAGCAGTGTCTTAGAAGAAGAGAGACCAAGTGAAGAATGTGGGACTATTCATCAAAGGACAAAAGAAAGAAAGAAAAAAAGAAGAACTTGGAAACTTCAAAGGTTGATGTGTTTGATCGACTATGACGAGACAATGATTATACAGATATGGGTTCTGATGGTCATGGGCTAGGTTAGCGCATTTATACAATTGCACTTTAGGACAATACCTTATCATTGTTTTAAAATGTGGCCGCGACACTGTTTCAAAAAATGTTGGGTGGCGCCTGGGTGGCTGGGGGGGGGGGGGAGACTGCCCAGTGCCTAGGCGGACGCCTAGAACCTAGGTAGCCTAGTAGAAAGAAAAGTTAGTTTTGAGGGTTGGGCTTTGTGTAAAAAATTTAAAAATACATATTGAGGCGTATTTTAGTCCATAATTCAAGATAGCACGTCAATTCTTTACAAAGAAATGAATGAAAACCAGAAATAACACATAAGAATTAGGGATATAAGGCTCATCAAATGGTCTATCGTCCACAAGTCCACATAGCCCATAGACTCCTCCATACTTCATAAGTTCATATCCAATTATCCATAATCCACACTCCACACATGGTTAAAACTTAAAATTTACAAACCAAAGTTACCAAACCACAATACACAATCAAGAGGAGGAAAACAAAAATGAAAGAAATTATCCATGATCCACACTCGTAGTTCATACTCGAAACTTTGAGAAAGCCTTTGATCCTAGGGTAATGTCAAAAAACTAGTTTTTTGAGGTTGCTCTCTCTCTAAAATAGGCTCTAATGGGGTTTAGGTTGTAAATGAACCCTAAACTCTCCCTTATCCCCCTTTTTTATTTAAAAAAACCCCACCTTAGGCGCCTGACCAGGCGGTTTCCTCTAACGTCTAAGCAGCCTCCCAGGGGTAGGCGCCCTGGCCCTTTGGACCGCCTAGGCACTGGGTGGTCCGCCTTTTAGAACACTGGGCCGCATAGAGGCGAATGTGTGCTTTGGTGGGATGCGCCAGCATATTCACTACATCCCACTGCATATGCAGCCGCATCGCGTGGCTCATGGGCGGAAATAGTGCCCATGAGCATGGGTATTTTTGTCAATTCCCCCCTGGGAAGGGTTTTGGGCGTATTAAACCCCCAAACACAAAAAACAGCCACAAATGTGGCTGTTTGTGGATCAAATGAAGAGGAAAAACAAATGTGGGGAAAATTTCTCTTTTGAAAAAAATTGTCTATTTGCTCTAGATGTTCATTGGGTTGTCGATTGGGATTAGCTTGGGTGTTGTTTTGAAGAAGTTTGAGCATAGATTCGTCAACATATCAAGGGTTTCAAGGGCCTAGAAGATGTCTTCTAAGTTTTAATATGATGTCTCTTTTGATGTTTATGAATGATGATAATATGATGTCTTCTAAGTTCTAGGGCACGTTTGGTTTGCGTGAAATAGTTTTCTTGTAGGAAATTAATTTCTTAGGAAATAGATTTCTTAGATTTAGATTTCACATGTTTTTTTTCTCATGTTTGGTAATACTATCTAGATTTCCTATGAAATTGTTTTCTTTTGTTTGGTAAACTATTTGGGAATCTAGGAATCTAGAATGTAAGCTATTCTCTCTCTCTCTAGAAATCCAAGCTCTCTTTCTCTCTCTAAAAATCCAGTCGTTTTCTCTAAAATCCATCCATCCTCTCTCTCTAGAAACCCAATATCTGTTTCTCTATCTAAATGCCTACTGTCTTTCAAGAAACACAATCTTTCTTGCCCTTTCTAAAAATCCATTATCTTTCTCTCTCTAAAAACCCATTCTCTCTCGAAATCCAATCTCTCATCTCTTTCTAAAAACCCATTCTCTCTCTAAAAACCCATTCTCTTTCTAAAAACCCATTCTCTTTCTAAAAACCCAATCTTTCTATCTAAAAATCCATTCTTGTTGGAACACCAATCTCTCTCCAAAAACCCATTATCTCTCTAGAAATCCAATCTCTCTTTCTCCCTCTAAAATTCCATTCTCTTTCCCTCTCAAAAAACTCATTCTCTCTTTAAAAACTGTTTTTCTCTAAAACCCAATCTCTCTTTCTCTTTCTAAAAACCCATTCTCTCTTTAAAAACTTATTCTCTCTAAAAATACATTTCTCTTTTTCTCTAAAAACCTATTTTTTCTCTAGAAAATCAATCTCTCTTTAAAGACCCATTCTCACTCTAGAAACCCAATATGTCTTTCTCTCTCTCTAAAAACCCATTATGTCACTCTAGAAGCCCAATCTCTATTTCTCTCGCGAAAAACACTTTCTCTCTCTGGAAACCCAATCTCTCTCTAAAAACCCATCTCTCTCTAAACCCAACCTATCGTTCTCTCTCTAAAACCCGTTCTCTCTAGAAACCCACTCTTTCTCTTTCTAAAACCCATTATCTTATGCTCTCTCTACAAACCCAATATCTCTTTCTCTTTCTATCTCTCTCTAAAAGCTATTATATCTCTAGAAACCCAATCTCTCTCTCTAAAAACCCATCCTCTCGCTCTAGAAATCCAATATCTCTTTCGCTTAAAACCCACCCTCTCTCTAGAAACTCAATCTCTCTTTCTCTATCTTAAATCCCATTATCTATCTAAAATTCCTCTTTCTCTAGAAACCCAATCTCTATTTCTCTCTCTAGAAATTGAAGCTCTCTTTCTCTCTTTAGAAATCCAAGTTATTTTTCTCTCTAGAAATCAATCTCTTTCTCTCTCTAAAAACCCAATCTCTCTTTCTCTCTAAAATCCCAATCTCTCCTCTTTCTAAAAACTCATTATCTCTCTCTAGAAACCAATATCTCTTTCTCTCTCTAAAATCCCAATCTCTTTTTCTAAAAACCCAATATCTCTTTCTCTCTAGAAATCCAATATTTTTTTAAATTTTCTAAAAAATATTTTTGGCTTACTACAAATAAAAAAAGTGTGAAGAGTGAAATAAAACAAAATAAATAAAAGGGAGGACTTCTTAATGGGCTGGGGCGGGCCTAGGCCCAGGCCCAATGTATTCTTTTCTAGTGGGGTTGGGCTGGGCCGGGCTTTGATAGTACACATTCGGGGCCGGGGTGGGATTTTTGGTACACTTTTCGGGTCGGGCCTTACCGGGGCAGGCCAAAGTATTTTCGTGCTATGCCAATCCTCGGGCCTGCCCGGCCCGATGGCAGCCTTACTTACATCCCTGCCGCCCCTGATTTAATTTCATAGGTAAAAAGATTTCTTACTCTTGTAACGAACCAAACGTGATAAATTCGTTATTTTCTAATAAAATAATATCTAAGAAACCATTTTCATACGAACCAAACATGCCCCTAATGTCTTCTATAAAGTTAGTTTCTAGTTTCTATTTCTAATGTCTGCTATCAGAGGATTCAGGGTCTCCAACAACTGATAATATTAGAGTTAATCAATAAATTAAATACCTACTATCACATAAATCACCTCCATATTTTTATCCAAATATTAACCTATTTTTTTTAATTTTTTTATATTTATTAACCTCATCGGAGTGATGCACCCGTGTCTGGACTGCATTGAGCTGTATCACCGCATTGCCCCCCACCACATCAGGACCATATCCTGCATTTTAAAACATTGTACCTTATTGACGAATTTAATGTTTGTTTCGCTTGCGCATCACTACCTCAGAAGAAGAGAGGCCATGTGAAGAATGTGGGAACTATTTGATCGAAAGACAAAAGAGAGATCAAGAAAAAGTAAATTTTGGGGAATTTAAAGGTTGATGTATTTCATCGACTGACATAAGGAGGACAATTCCTCGAGTTTAGGGTGGCTGGTTGGAGGAACACGGATTCTTTTTATATTGCCTGTCTTTGGCATTTTAAAATGTTGAGGATGATTGTTGGTCGGGGAGGATGAGTTGAGCGTCATACATTAGTATACAAAAATTTCAGCTCAAGATATGGGCTTGGGTTTGTTTTTTATTTTCTTTTCCTTGATAGATAACATGGATATGGATTTCTAAGTGCAAAAAGCTTGTGATTGAGCTTCTATCTTAGAGTTTGGCCTGATTAGGGGCATAAGGGGGTTTAGGAAACCTTCATTGTGTTTGATGAGGTAAGCTACAAGGCTCTCTCATCAGTTGCTAAAAGGAATAATAAAAAAGAGGCTTCTTCACTTCTGTAAGAGCTCTCTTTCAGTGTTTTGGAATTAGGCGCCTTGCCCTAATTACACATGCCTTACCAGGCTAAAAATATGGGAAGACTAATCGGGCAGATTATGAGAGTTGCAATTTTAATGCAAAAAGCTTGTAATTGAGCTTCTATCGTAGAGTTTGGCCTGATTAGGGGCATAAGGGGGTTCAGTAATCTTTCATTTGTGCTTGATGAGGTAAGCTGCAAGGGCTCTCTTATCAGTTGCTAAAAGTAATAATAAAAACAGGCTTCTTCACTTCTGTTAGAGCTTTCTTTCAGTGTTTCGGAATTAGGCGGCCTTGCCCTAATTAGACATGCCTTACCAGGCTAAAAATATGGGAAGACTTATTGGGCAGATTATGAGAGTTGCAATTTTGCTTGCCTCTAGAATTTTAATTAAGATATAATGTCTTTGTTGTATCCCCATCAGTACACTTCATATCAAACACTGGTTTGCACTTTTCATTTATTTAGAATTATTATTGGGGTGTCTTTGATGTAGTAATTTTCCTGATTTTTAGGAGTTCATATAAATATTGGTCTTTTTTATTTAGTATTGTTTGGCATATTGCACTCTAATGTTCTGATGAGTGATAGTGTTCTTTTCTATTCATTGCAAAACTTCCATTTTTTGACTTCTCCTATTATTGACTATTTATCAGTCTCTAGTTGACGTGATAATCTGATCGGTACATGGCTGTATGGTGTTTTTGAATTATTTATAAATATGTTGAATACATTCTTCCTTTTCAGAAATTTCCTGAAAATTCTGATGCTGATTTTAAATTTCAGTTTCTAGTTTTGGATGAGGCAGACAGGGTTTTGGATGTTGGTTTTGAGGAAGAACTTAAAGTAATATTTCAAAGCTTACCAAAAGAACGACAAACTCTTCTCTTTTCTGCAACCATGACAAATGAGCTGCGAGTTTTACATGAGCTTTCTGCAGACAGGGCCTATTTTTATCAAGCTTACGAAGGATTGAAGACAGTTGAATCTTTGAAGCAGCAATATGTCTTCATTCCAGTGAATGTGAAGGATGTTTATCTCACACATATTTTGTCAACAATGGAGGATAATGGTATCCGCTCTGCCATTATTTTTGTTTCCTCTTGCAGGTACATATGGTACTTCATGCAAGTGGTTATTTTGGGTTTGCAAATTAGTTTGTTTTAAATTTCAAGTTAAGATTTTACCTCATGGCTAGGATAATGGATGAAGTTGAACCTTTGAGGAATTACATATTTCTAATGCTTTGTAGAATGGTTTTCTTTTAGCTGTTTCATTTGTTTGTGTATTGATGAGGATGGGCTCTTCAACATCATCAGTTCTACAACATCATAAGTATTATGAACGCAAACAAGTTATCTAGAAGCTGTCCATTCTACATAACATCCTCCTTTCGTTTGATAAGGTTAACATCGTAAAGTTATTTGTCCGTGGAGTGGGAGTAAATATGTCACATGCTGAGATGCTTGGGATTTCGTTCAGATTTGCTTTCTGGCTTTTGGACGTACATTGCTGTGACTGGCATCTTGAACACGATATGCAATACCCCATGAGGGTACTCCACTCTTCTCCAACATCATCGTTATTATTAAAAGACGAAGAAGTTTTCTAGAAGCCATCCTTCCTACATAGTATCCTATTTGTCTTGATAAGGTCCATTTGGGAAAGGCATGCGACTGTGGAGTGGGACTAAATCTGTCACCTGCTAAGGTCCTCGGGGTTTCGTTCTAGATGTGCCATCTGGCTTTGGACATACATTGCTATGTCTAGCTTCTTCAACACGATGAGCAATTCCCCATGTGGGTACTCCACATTTCTAGGATTTGAGGAGAAGCGCCCTTTTTCTCCAGTTCTGTTTATTATTGTGGTGCAATTTCTTCTCTAGCTCCTTATGGAGTTTGAGATGTTAGTTTATTCATGGCTTTGTTTCCAATGGGGAAAAGTTGATTTACCTACATTATTCTGATTATTTTCTTGTTTATAATAGCACAAGTATTTATCAGGTTCTAGCTCGTATTCACCCAAAAAACATTTTAGCTCTTAATTTTGTATTGCACAGTTTTCAAAGAGTTCCAATGCATAAATAGATTTATAAGGACAAAATTGGCTGTTTTCGAAGTTGAGAAGAATATCTTAAACTTATTGCCATGTCTGTTGTAGGGGATGGAGATATACTTCAATTCATACAAGCTTCCTATCAATGTGTGTAATTTGAGGCACCATTAGGAAGGCCTTTTCGGAATGGTTAAGATGATAGTGGGATGGAGAGGTAAGGGACTTTTGTTTAGTGGCAGAATTATTCTTTTTAAAATTACTTTGTGAAACCTCACTTATTTTACACCCTTATACGAGATGATTGCCACAATTAATAAGAAGTTTGATTGATTGCAATGCATTGGAGGAGTCTAAAGGTAAAGTATCCATTGTTTAGGTGGGGGGATGTTTAGTAAAGAGAAAGGTGTGGCTGGTCAGTAGGAAGGTGGAGATTGTGAAATGCACATTTAGGATGGAAAAGTCATGAGGAGAGCAATGTTCAGCTTGAAAAAGAGGTGTCAGACCTGTGTTCGGGAGTGTTGTAGGTGGCAGAAAACCAATCACAGGCAGGTTGATGAATGGGGAAATTAGTGGTGGGGAATGAGTTCCTTAGAAGAGAATTTTCTTTGATCATATCTGTTTCGTAAAATGAAGATTTAATGGGGGTGTTTTCTTTTTTTGGGGGGAGGGGGAAGGGGGGTGGGTGTGAGAGAGAGAGAGATGCCTCTCATCAGGCAAGACATGCTGGAGAAGAGCTTTAACTTATGCACCTGTTCAATCATGATGAATGTGTTGAGAGAGAGAAAGATGCCTCCCATCATGCAAGACCTACTGGAGAAGAGGTTGAACTTATGGACCTGTTCTATCAAGAATGTGTTGAATGAAATTCATGTTGATAGAGGATAGATAGGTTTGGGATGGGAATAATGAGTAAAGTTCTTGGCATTCAGAACGCAATGTGATGGATTGGGATGTTGGACACTTCCCATTGTGGAAAATTTAGATAAAGAGCCTTACGCCTATCCCATTCCATAGGCCACGAACAAAGAAGACCATTATCATGCACACCCCAAATAACGCACAAACCTCACCACAAAGTTTTTTATTTACCTTTTCTTGACTGACCATGAGAACAAGAGATTAGGATACGGACTATTGTCAATTTTCATGCCAAGCTGGTTGGATAGCATTGAGATCATGAAGTGCCCAAATAACGCACAAACCTCGCCACAAAGTTTTTTATTTACTTTTTCTTGACTGACCATGAGAACAGGAGATTAGGATACGGGCTGAGAACAGGAGATTAGGATACGGACTATTGTCAATTTTCATGCCAAGCTGGTTGGATAGCATTGAGATCATGAAGTGCCAACATGCAGATGATAGAGGTTGTAGATTCTTTATGGGCAGAGGGACAAACATTATTTAGTAGATTATGAATTTGATCGATAGATTCAATTTAGCGTGATTCTTGAACTATTTAAGGTGTCTCTGTGGATGTTGTATGATGAACAAAGAGGAATGTGAAGTACCATAATTAAAACGAAAGGTATTTTTCAAGAAATGAAGGATTTAAGCAGCGGTGATATGTTTTATATAGGACTCGATGGATAATGTCAGGCTAGTGGGGTATGTCATGTTTTTAGGGAAGCTAGTGGTTTGGATAACAGGATTTAGGGAAGTGGAATATGTGCCCTCCATGATCATTCCCTTGGTTTTCATAAAAGTTTTCTGCTTTATATTTATTCAAGTAATATTAAATTGCAAAAGTTTATTGTGAAAGAATTTTGTTGATGATATGACAATGTGAGTATACTTATGTAAAACTATTATGTGTGTGTGTGTGTGTGTGAGAGAGAGAGAGAGAGAGAGAGAGAGTTGGAGAAGTAGAACTCGATTGCCAGAAATAAGGGATCGCCTTCTTTATATAGATAAGTCCTCAGTGAGGTTAGAAACAACTGGTTTTCTTCATTTTCTTTAAAGATAAGAAAGCATTTTCTTAGATAACTGGCTTCTTTTCCTTGGCTTCCAGAGATTTCAAGATAAGGATACTTTTTTTGTCAGCTGGCCTTGCTTTAAAGAAAATATCTTTAAAGGAGATTCTGCTGACGTTTTAGTTATAGTAACTACTTTATGCTACAATGGAGTATATATAGTAGTTGATAGTACAATAGTTGATAGGACTCTAAGAAACGGTTTGAAACTTTATTGAATAGGAACATTTAAGTTTCTTAGCAGTTGATAGGACTCTAAGAAAAGGTTTGAAACTTTATTGAATAGGAACATTTAAGTTTCTTAGCAGTTGATAGGACTCTAAGAAAAGGTTTGAAACTTTATTGAATAGGAACATTTAATTTTCTTGACTTTGTAGGATGTAATTATCAACTACTGTATATACTCCATTGAAGCATAAAGTAGTTACTATACTTAAAACGTCAACAAAATCCCCTTAAAGGATATTTTCTTTAAAAGCAAGGGCCAGTTGTCTCAGAAAAAAATGTATCATCGTGAAATCTCCGGAAGCCCAGGGAAAAGAAGCCAACTATCTTAGAAGATGCCTTCTTATCTTTAAAGAAAAAGAGGAAAGCCAGTTGTTTCCAACCTCACTGAGGACATATCTATATAAGGAAGGAGATCCCCTTCTTTCTGGCCATTAAGTTCTACTTGTCCAACTCTCTCTCTCTCTCAAGCTCTCACTCTCTCTCTCTCTCTCATTCTCTAGGATCTCTTTGTATAAATTTGTAAGTACCAATTGTGCTTTTATTTGAAAGAAGATTGTAAAGCATAACTGGTGTATAAGGTGTAACTTGTATATGAAAGCCCAAACGCTAAACTTGTGAAGCTTTGGTATGTATTTCTTGTTTTCATTCTATTAAATAAAGCAATCTTGGTACATGCAAATTTATACAAAGAGATATCAGAGAATAAGAGAGAGTGAGAGCTTGAGAGAGAGAGAGTTGGAGAAGTAGAACTCGATTGCCAGAAAGAAGGGGATCGCCTTCCTTATAGATAAGTCCTCAGTGAAGTTGGAGACAACTGGCTTTCTTCCTTTTCTTTAAAGATAAGAAGGCATCTTATAAGACAATTGCCTTTTTTTCCTTGGGCTTCTGATGATTTTAAGATAATAATACATTTTCTTTTGAGACAATTGGCCCTTGCTTTTAAAGAAAATATCTTTAAAGGGGATTCTGCTGACGTTTTAGGTATAGTTACTACTTTATGCTACATTGGAGCATGTACAAAATAAAAAATTATAGTTAAAGAGGGTGTTCCTAAAATTACGTTTTGTCTTAAGTCTTTTACTAGTAAGAAGTTTGTAGCTAGATATAAGCCATTTTTACAAACATGAGTGCTAGAGACTTTATATTTAATTTTTAGCTTGTTAAGATTTGCAGTTTAAAGTTTCTGATCACTTTTCTCAAAATATTGATATGGAACTAACTCTTCTTTTATACAAGTGGAGTCAACACCTGAATCTATTTAAGTTAAAGTAAAATCTTTAATTCTTATGGTTATTTCTACAAACAATTATTGTACTTTAAATTGAGGATTATTAAGAAAATTTGAGTCTTCACTGTCTTCCCCTTTTAGTCTTTCTACAAGATTTTTAATTTCTTCTTTGGTTTCATTAATTTCCCCTCTTAGGTAAGCTATTGTAATTTCTTCTTTTAATGGTTTTCTAGCTTTTGCTTCAATAAAATTTTATTGCAGTCCTAAACTTGTGGTATTATGTCAATTTTTTTTCCTTTTATTTACTTATTTTGAGTCTCAAAATGTTTTTTTAATGGTTTATTTTTTAATTCTAAACTTAAGGTATTAGAAACTAATTCCAAAAAGGTCTCTTGTTCTGTAGTTAACACATTTAACGAATAATAACATTTCTTTTTTGAATTCTTTGAGTCTGTTTCTTCTAATTCAGAAGAAGAATATCATACTTCTTCTTGCTCTTCTCTAGTTAATTCTTCTAAATTATTGGTAAGTTTTTTATAAAAGTATTTATTAGCATAATGTCATTTCCACACTTACAACAAGTCGGGACTTCTTTTCGTTTAGATTTCTTCTTTCTCATTTTCTT